CCCCCCCCCCCCCCCCACCGGCATAATTTGGTGTTAATGACATATATCGTACGACAGCGATGCATGCGAGGAGGTAAACGCGCATCCATTTTGCTTCGCGCAACTATTTTGCTTCGCGCAACTTTATGTTGCAGAACCTTGTTTTTTGCCGCCGGCTGAACTGTTGTTTGTATTGCTTCAAACAGGCTCTCTGGATGCTGATTTGACACTTCCGTAGCTCCCGTGTCTTGTCGCGTAGCTCCCGTGTCTTGTCGCCCGGCCCAGCTGCCGGCGTGTGCCGAACGCAATCCTTGTCCGATGTTGTTTACTGCCGCTGCTGCTGCCGTCATCATCTTAACACGAACAGCTGTTCTGGCGTCTACCCAGCACCGTTTTCACAAACGTCCACGCTAATTTTTGGGGCCAAATAAGAAAAAAAAAAAAAGTCGTTGCGGCAGCCCTATTTAGCTATTAAACCCCCCAAGACTGAGGCACTCCAGATGCTGAGCTTTGGTCCCGGTTTTCCATCCTCTCCGCCCACAGCCGCGCGCACTGGCCTAACTTTACTAGCACCCTGGCAACCAAAATCGCGCTTTTTTACCGGCGACCGGACTTGCTGCAATCGACAGGAATACAAGCGAGTCGTGCACGCCATCGAGCGGTACATCAGGAAAGCCCAGCCCCAGCACCGTATCGGAGGTAAGATCAAAGGCGGGGCGACCGGCGGCGGCGGCGGCGGCGGGCATTTTCTCGGCCCCCGTCACCGCCGCTAGGTAGTACTCAAGGCACCCGTTCCCGCGCGCCTCTCGTGTTTGGTTTGCGGCAGCAATAACCGCCGGGCACGTCCGCCGTCGTATGTTGTAGTCACGGCGCCCGCTTGCGTGCCTCTTTTTTTTTTTTTGCGGCCGCTGCGGAAGGCTACTCGCCGTCCTCGTGGGGGCCTTGCTATTGGTAAACCGCCGGCACCCACATACTCCACCCCTCCGTGACATTTGTTTTTTCGTGCCCGCGGGTAGGGGTAACAATGTCCGGTGCTTGGCACCAAATGAAGTACGTTGGCGTTGCTGGCTCCAATGGTGTGCAAGACAGGAGTATTGTAGTAGGATGCAGATGCGCTCGGCACCCTTTAGTACCACCAAGAGTTACGGTTCGCGTAGCGCGCCAAGCCTCTTCGCGGCATAAACAGCACACGACTGCTGTTGTGACGGACGAAAACACCTCAAATTCTTTGCAGCACCCGCGAATCTCGGCGAGCGCTATGATGAATGTTTTTTAACTGTGTGGCCGCCGATGCCCCCGCCCCCCCCGCCCCCTTTCTACAGGCTGCTTCGTGATCGATTCCGTGTGCCGACAAGCTCAGTCCAAGTGGGGCCACAAGGACGTCTTCACTCCTCGCTTCGCGCAGCGCATGTCCGAGACCGTGGAGAATCTAAGAAATGTGAGAGAGTTGGGAGGGTGGGGTACTCATGTAAACGCATGCCGTAGCCGTTAGACCCACTGACCTCGCATCCCTGCAATGCCGGGACGGAGTGGTACGGTTTGACAAGGATGAAGCAGATGGAGGGAGGGAGGGTTAATGCTTGGCCCTTGGGGGTGTTCGGAAGTGTATCCGGTCACGTATCGAACCGACTGCCTTTGTGGTTGTCTGTGTGTGTTTTTATTGGCATCGACCGCGCTAGCCGGCTGACCAATGAGAAGACGTCAGTCTTGCAGGGGGACGAAAAACGCGGAACATGCCCGTGTGCTTATGTGTTTGTTTAGTTAGCATCGACCGCGCAAACCAGCTGACCGATGACAACACGTCAACGCCTGCGGCGTGTGTTGGTGCTTGTGCGGAGTATCTTTTTGCCGATCGCGTGGAGAAAGGCGGCTCCCGCTTGAGCTGTTTGTTTCTTTCCGAGATATTTGTAGTCCCGTTGTTAACCGCTCCCGTTTTCATTACCCCGGAGTTGAGGCCTCCACATAGTCATCCGCGCTCCGCCGTGCAACGCACAACGCCCCACAGCATCTGCTCCCTCTTTACGCGAAAACGATGTGTCTGCTGTACGAATGAAGGGTTGGCGCGTCTTTTCTCCTCCCTCCACCATTGGCCGATCCCCCCTTATCGCTCTCGTGTTGCTGCACAGGTGCCCGATGGGGACAAGCCGCCGGTGTTCCGAGTCATCCGAGAATGGCACGAGAAGGGGATGTTCAAGGGGCTCGAGGCGTTCGCCTCTACGGGGGCTGCGGGAGCCGCGGCTCCCGCCGCTCCCGCTCCCGCTGCTGCTGCTGCTGCTGCTGCGCCGTACTCGTCGTATCAGAACCCCCCCCCGCCCCAGATGCCCGCGGTGTCTGCCGCTCCCGCCCTGATGCCGCTGCCGCCGCCGACCGGGGTGATCCACCTCGGGCTGAAGGCGGGAGACACGTACGGTAGCGCTTATCCGCCGCACGCGGCGGCGGCGGCGGCGGCGGCGGCGGCGAACGGCGGCGGCGCTCCGCCAGGTGGTGCCGACCCCGGCGCCGCCGCTGCCCCCACGTACGCGCCGTCGTATGAGCAGCAGCAGAGCAGCAACAGCCCCGCCCCCGGAGGCGTTACCAACGGTGGCTGGGGAGGGCGGTTGGACGAGCCCTTGTCTG